TTCCTAGAGCTGAGAGAAAGTATTGCAACTAGTCCAAGACCACCTAGCTCAGTGTTTCTCAACCTTGACAATTTTAAGGCATGTGGACTTCAAATCCCAGAATTCCACAGCCAGCATTGCTGGCTGTGGAATTCTGGGAGTTGAAGTCCACATGCCTTAAAATTGTCAAGGTTGAGAAACACTTAGCTAGCTGGATTTGTACCTAAGGTAGGACTAGAATTCACAGTCTCTCAGTTTCTACACTGATGCCTTAATCACTACATCAAATTGGTTCTTATAGATACAAAAAGAAAAATATTGTCAGACTCATGGGACAAACCATCACACTTAGATGAGTTAATTCTAGTATAAAGTACATTGACAAAATCTTGCAAGTCTGAAAGTACATCCTCCCCCATTTCTTTTACGGGCAAAGAAACTGAGGAGTGTCTCATCTAAACTTCTTACCCTTCCCACTATCCAGCTGCAGGCTTTGTTGTTTCTTATCTAACCATTGTCTTAGCAGCTCTCTTTGCCCAATTTCCCAAGGTCTTTTCCACATACCATTACAAATATTGAACAAAAGCAGGAAATCTTAATGTTTACCTTGGCTCCTTACAGTGGCAACGATTAGGAAAAAGAAATGCTTTAACCACTTAACACTTAATTTAGCTCATTAAAGAAGGAAAGAAAGGAGATATTTATGAAAATCGTTTCAGATTGAAGACTTTGTTCAAAGCTTTCTTCACTTCCTTATTTCTCAGACTGTAGACCATAGGGTTCAGCATGGGAGTGATTACCCCATACAGCATGGAAATTATTCTGTCTTGTTTCCCTGAATAAGAAGAAGTGGGACGAGCATAGGTAGCAATGGTGGCCCCATAGAAAAGACAAACAACAGTCAAATGAGAACCACAAGTGGAAAAGGCTTTGTGCCTCCCCTCAGTGGAAGGCATGCGCAAGATGGTAGAAATTATGTAGATGTAAGAGATCAGGGTGACCAGGAAAGCCCCACTACCTATAATACCAGCCACTAATAAAAGAACAATTTCAGCAAGGTAAGTAGAAGAGCAAGAGAGAGCCATCACAGGATGAAGATCACAAAAATATTGATTGAGTTTCTTAAAGCCACAGAAAGACAATCTAAAAGTCAATGAGGTATGAATCATAGAATTAATTAAGCCCAATAGCCAAATCACAGCCATCAGTTGAATACACTACTGTTTATTCATTATATTAGCATAATGTAAAGGGCTACATATTGCCACATAGCGGTCATAAGCCATCACTGCAAGCAAGAAGATTTCAGTGCCCACCATATCAATGAGGAAGAATAGTTGCATCATGCAGCCCACAAATGATATTTTCTTGTCCTTTGATAAGAATATCTGGAGCATCTTTGGTACAATGACCGTTGGACAAAGGATGTCCATCAGTGATAAATTGCTCAGAAAGAAGTACATTGGAGTTTGGAGGTGAGCATCTGTTCCTATTGCCATGAGAATAGCCCCATTCCCTGCCAGGGTGGTCAAGTAGATCAGCAGAATCACCACAAAGAGGACAGTCTGTACTTCAGGGAGATCAGACAGTTCAGTCACATAGAAGTCCATCAACACAGTTGCGTTGCTTCTCTCCATCTTTCTGGAAATCAGACTGATCAACAGGAGTACCTAAGACAAGACAATGCAAAAGAGATTTGTTAACACAATAGATGTTTCTGGATTTTAGACTATAGTGGAGAGATATATTCTCAATGTCTTCCATAAATACACTTTATCTACATACTAAAGAGAATGGAATGTGGTAAAGAATTTAGCAATGGAAAAATTATATCATTGAGGGATAGTGTAATCTTGCTCTACATAGCAAGCGCTAATGATCAGCAACTTAAACTTTGTTAATTTTATTATGAGTGCAGATTCCTTTAGAGGTTTTCATATTCCAAATCCCATCATATCTTCATGGGTCAATGATCAAGAATGATAGAAGTTTGGAAAACACCACCTTTCTTTATTCCCTTTCAAATAATTTCACTTCTATGATTACTTAGATTATAAAAATTAGTATAAACAGTATAGTATTATATAAATATTAACACAGGAAGAAGAGATAAAGAATAAATCATTATTAATTTATAGGATTGTATTTAAAAGAGGCCTCAGTCACTATCTAAATTAACAAAACAGCATTGATAAAAAAATAGCTGTATATACTATGAATCAAATATTTGACTGCAAATATTCAACTTTGAAAGCCATCAAATACATATTCTTAATTCAGATTTAGTTCAGGAATGTATAAGAGAGTCAAATGGCTGCAACAGTTATCTTAGAATTCCTCTTGTTATTCTATAAGTATTTATCACAAAGGGAAGATTAGTTTTTATGAAACTCCTACTAGTCTAAGATTTACAAATGATATTTTATCCTTTAAAATCTCTATTAATAGCAGATATGAATCAGTTAAGAGTTTATTTTTTCAAAAACACAAAACTAAATGGGTTTAAATTCACCAATGATAACAATACAGTGCAAAAATTAGAATATTTTCAAGTTGTTACTAAACCTTCCCCAAAATGCCTTAAATTACACCTCCCTATTCTGCAGTTTGAGATTAAACATTAGGAAACCAAAATGTGCTTAGTTTATTAGTTGAATGTTTGTCAGAACTGTGGATAAAATCTACTCTCTTCTGACATTGACTCAGGACAAGTGATTCATTAAATAATAGGACTGAAGACAAACTAGACCCACTGATCTTCATCTGTTGGCCTCCAGATGGATTGGGCTGCAGCCTCTATATTTTCCCATATGTCCATAAGGAAAATCCTGCACATCAAGAGGGCACCAGAACATAGAAGATGACATTAAAAAATGTCTAATGATATAAAATTACTCTTCCAAGAACATGAAGTTACTTGCCTTTCTTATTTCTCCTGTCTGTGTTAATACAGTAACAAATACAGACGAATTTCTGTGAAGTCAAGCAAAATACAATCATGGCTCCTCAGGCATCAAATTAACAATCTTTGCTCCAATCATCTACCTCTTCCTCTTTAACAAATGTGAATGACAGCATCAAGACAAAGAATCTGTTTAGGGACTCCAAGGTCTCCAAAGAATTTGGTACCAGTTGGATTTGAGTCTCATTGGAACTGAAGTTCACTTGATTAATTTTTTTTAAAATACAACAGCATTAAATGAAAAAAGTGACCTTACAATCCTATTAATCTATAAGAAATAATCTCCTTTGAGTTCAAAGGGACTTTCTGCAGGAACGTACAAATATTGTTGAAATATTAATGATATCTATCTCCAATTTAACTTAAAGAACTACACTTATTCAAGCAAACCAACGGTTTGTTTCCTTAGAACTGGATTTCTTCAAAAGGTTATTTCCATTGTGCATATCAAGCATTCTGTGTGTATATGTGACACTTTCTATATAGAGGTTTTAAATCTCCAGTTGTGTACAGGGCACAAACATGATAAAATTAGATCTTACTTATTATTTTCATATCCCCCTCTCTTGTTTTCAAAGGAAATGATACCTTTTTCATGGTAAACCAGAGTTTGGATACTGGTGATTATAACAGAAAGACAATGATGTTTTGAGCTATTATTCTTTGGCTTGCACAATTGCAGTTTCCACTATGCCTAATAAATGGATAAAGACAGCCGTTTCCCATCACATCCCAATATTCAGACAATCTATTTCTGATTTTCTTATTTAAAAAAACCCTCTGACTTATTTTGTATTTATCCATTGTTTTTTTATAAGGATATTGATGTCTATGGGCCAAACAGCCCAAATCACCTCACAAGATGAGGGAGGACTATTGACACTGCTTTCAGCTCCTACAGGAAATGTGGAAAACAAATCTAAAAAATGGGTGCAATGTTTTTTCTTTGTTTGTTTGTTTATTTTTGAATGAGTTGAACTGCTGGTATGGTCGCACAGAAGAGGCAAACGACAGTCAAGTGGGAACCACAAGCGGAACATGCTTTTTGCCTGCCCTTGGCAGAGTGCAAGTATAAGATAGCTGAAATTACATAGATATAAAAGATCAGGGTAACTGGAAAAGCACCACCCCCTAAAACGTCAGCCAGAAGGAGGAGGACAAGCTCAGGTAGATATGTGGAAGATATGTGGAAGATCAAGAAAGAGCCATAATTGGAGGGATGTCACAGTAATATTGATTAACTTTATTAACAGAAAGATAATGTAAAAGTCAGCAAGGTGTGAATCATATAATTCATGAAGCCTGTTAGCCAGGTCCCAGCTGCCAGTTGAGCACATAGTCGCTTGATCATACCTCATTTGGGTAGTGTAGAGGGCTGCATCACTGCAAGCAAAAAAATTTCAGTGCCCACCACATAAATGAGGAAGAAGAATTGCAGCATGCAGCCAACAAATGATATTCTCTTGTCCTCTGACAAAAAGGTCTGGAGCATTTTTGGCACAGTGACAGTTGGACAAAGGATATCCAAAAAGATAAATTGCACAGAAAGAAATACATAGGAGTCTGGAGGTGGGCATCTTTTGCTATTACTATAAGAACAGCCCTGTTCCCTGCCAAAGTGGTCATGTAGGTCAGCAGAATCATCAGAAATAGAGAAATGTGCACTGAAGGAGATTGTCTCTACAGAGGACAATCACAAGTGGTCAATGAGGAAATAAAAAATAAAAAATAAATCCGGAGTTGGGCATTTCAGTACAATAGCTGAGTTCTCTAACCCAGGTTCTCAAACATGAGAGGCACATTAATCTCAATTAATCAATAACTTTCTCACTAATAGTGTTAGATTGGGATAAAATAGATATTAATCTATCCATTCAAAAATCAGAATTTTTGAGGGGCTGAAGAACAGTATTGACATAATGAGAACTTATGCTCATCTCACTTTCATGCAGTTCACAATGTTCATAGAAAATTAACACAGGGGAGGAAAGTGCATTTAGATATCAAGCTGTTGTTATTTAAATTCCAAAAGTTAGTAGAAGAATACTATGGATCCATAAAATGTACAACAATCATTTATTTTGAGTGAAAAAACCAGCACATTTATCACAGATTAAAATTCCCTCCTTTTCAATAGATGGCAAATGGAACCTCACCTACAAATGAGAATGTCAGTTCGGATAACAGAGTTGGACATTGCAACATTGCATTGTAAGTAAAGTCACATCAAAATTTCATACATTCTAACATCTCAGGCATGGATAGTTCTAAAAGAAAAACAAAAAACTTCAGTCTCCTCTTTACAGATTTTTTTTTTTACCTTCACAATCATGTCTGATTCTTGATTGCCTGGACAAGTCCCTGCAATTTTCTTGGCAACATTTTTCAGAACTGGTTAGCCTCCTTCCTAGAGCTGAGAGAAAGTAACTAACCCAAGGCCACCTAGCTGGATTTGTACATTAGGCAGGACTAGAATTCACAGTTTCCCACTTTCTAGCCTGATGCCCTAATTGATACACCAGATTGGTTCTTTCCTTACAGATACCAAAATAGAAATATTGTCAGCTCGTGGGGCAAACTATCACAACTGGATGAATTAATTCTAAGTATATTGACAAAATCTTGCAACTCTGAAAGTACATTTCTCCCCCTCCCACTCCATTTCTTTAACAGTCCAAGAAATTAAGGAGTGTCCCATCTAAGCTTCTTGCCCTTCCCACTATCCAGCTGCAGGCTTTGTTGTTTTAGGAGATGTTTATGAAAATCTTTTCAGATTAAAGGCTTTTCTCAAAGCTTTCTTAACTTCCTTATTTCTCAGACTGTAGATCATAGGGTTCAGCATGGGAGTGATTACCCCATACAGCATGGAAATTATTCTGCCCTGTTTGCCTGAATAAGAAGAAGTGGGACGAGCATAGGTGGCAATGGTGGCCCCATAGAAAAGACATACAACAGTCAAATGAGAACCACAGGTAGAGAAGGCTTTGTGCCTCCCCTCAGTGGAAGGCATGTGCAAGATGGTAGAAATTATGTAGATGTAAGAGATCAGAGTGACCAGGAAAGCCCCACTACCTATAATACCAGCCACTAGTAGATGAGCAACTTCAGCAAGGTAAGTAGAAGAGCAAGAGAGAGCCGTCACAGGTTGAAGATCACAAAAATATTGGTTGAGTTTTTTAGAGCCACAAAAAGACAATCTAAAAGTCAGTGAGGTATGAATCATAGAATTAATTAAGCCCAATAGCCAAATCACAGCAATCAGTTGAATACACCGCTGTTTATTCATTACATTAGCATAATGTAAAGGGCTACATATTGCCACATAGCGGTCATAAGCCATCACTGCAAGCAAGAAGATTTCAGTGCCCACCATATCAATGAGGAAGAATAGTTGCATCACGCAGCCCACAAATGATATTTTCTTGTCCTTTGATAAGAATATCTGGAGCATCTTTGGTACAATGACCGTTGGACAAAGGATGTCCATCAGTGATAAATTGCTCAGAAAGAAGTACATTGGAGTTTGGAGGTGAGCATCTGTTCCTATTGCCATGAGAATAGCCCCATTCCCTGCCAGGGTGGTCAAGTAGATCAGCAGAATCACCACAAAGAGGACAGTCTGTACTTCAGGGAGATCAGACAGTTCAGTCACATAGAAGTCCATCAACACAGTTATGTTGCTTCTCTGCATCTTTCTGGCAATCAGACTGAGTAGCACCTAAAACAAGACAATGCAAAAGGGGTTTGCTAAAACAATATATATTTCTGGATTGTAGAGTATAGTGAAGATGCAGACTATCACCTACATTTTTTCTATGTACATCTGCATACTAACGAGGGTGGTTGGAAATGGGATGTTGGGAAGAGGTCCACAGTGGAAAAGGAAACTACATCAGTAGACAGATGGTGTCTCTTTCTCTTAGAAACTAGGGATAATGATCAGTGTTAAACTTCCTTCCGTATTATTATGAGTGGTCATCCTCAAACTTTGAGGCTTTAGTGGTCCAGATCCCATCATCCCATCATGGTCAATGATAAAGCATGAAAGAGATTGGAAATCATCTCAAGTTGTTCACTCCCTTTCTATCATTTCTTTTTCCTTTTCTGTATTTACTTAGATTATAAAAGTAAGTATAAATGCTTATTACTGTATAAATATTAACACAGGAAGAAGAGATGAAAAATAAATCATTATTATAACATTGTCTTTAAAAGAGGCTTTAGTCACTATCTAAATTAAAAACACTGAGTCAATACTGATAAAAATAACTGTAGGGTATAAACTATGAATCTAATATGTAACTGTAAATATTCAACTTTGAAAGCCATCAGATATTCTTAATTCAGATTTAGTTCAGGAATGTAAAATTGCTGTAACAGGTTATCTTAAAATTGCTCTTATTACTCTGTAAGGCACTTATCACAACGGGCTGATTAGTTTTTATGAAGCTCTTACTAGTCTAAGATTTACAAATGACATTTTATCCTTTAAAATCTGTTAAGGGTGAATCAGTTAACGATGTTTCTTTTTTTCAAAAACACAAAGTTAAATGGGTTTCAATTCATCAATGATAACAATACAGTGCAAAAAGTATAATATTTTCAAGGCTGTTACTAAACCTTCCCCAAAATGCCTTAAATTACACCTCCCCATTCTGCAATTCGAGGTTAACATTCGGAAATCAAAATGCACTAAGCTCAATAGTTGAGTGTTTGTCAGATCTCTACTCTCTTTTGACACTGACTCAAGACAAATGATTCATTAAAGAATAGGACTGGGCTGCAGTCCATATATTTCCCCATATGCCCATAAGGAAAATCCTGCACATCAAGAGGGCACCAGAACATGGAAGGTGACATTAGATAATGTCTAATGACATAAAATTACTCTTCCAATAACGTGAAGTCACTTGCCTTTCTTATTTCTCCTGTCTGTATTAATACAATAATCATAGGATGAAGAATTTCTGTGAAGTCAAGCAAAATACACTCATAGCTCCTCAGGCATCAAATTAACAATCTTTGGTCCAATCATCAAAGTCTTCACTACCTCTTCCTCTTTAACAAATGCAAATGACAGCATCAAGACAAAGAGTCTGTTTAGGGACTCCAAGGTCTCCAAGGAATTTGGTACCAGTTGGATTTGAGTTTCATTGGAATTGAAGTGTGCTTGGTGAATTTTTTTTTAAGATACAACAACATCAAATGAAAATAGTGACTTTACAATCCTATTAATCTATAAGGAATAATATCCTTTGAGTTCAAAGGGACTTTCTGCAGAAAAGTACAAATATTGTTGAAATATTAATGATATCCATCTCCAATTTAACTCAAAGAACTACACTTATTCAAGCAAACTCACTGTTTGTTTCCTTGGAACTGGATTTCTTCAAAATGTTATTTCTATTGTGCAGCTCTAATCCATATCAAGCATTCTGTGTGTATATATGACACTTTCTGTATAGAGGTTTTAAATCTCCAGTTGTGAACTGGGCACAAACATAATAAACTAAGATCTTACTTACAGTATTATTTTCATATCCCCCTCTCTTGTCTTCAAAGGAAAGTGTCCCTTTTTCATCTGTTATCCAGAGTTTGGACATTGGTGACCATTATAACAGAAAGACAAATGAAGTTCTGAGCTTTTATCTTGTGAATTGCACAACTGCAATTTCTGCCATGCCTTCTGCATGGATAAAAGTTGCCACTTCCTACTCCCCCACCATTCCAATATTCCAGATAATCTATCTCTGCCTGTCTTGTTTTTTTTAAAAAAAATCTGTTATTTTGTATTTATCCATTGATTTCTTATAAAGCATTTTGGCTTCTGCGAGACAAACAGCCCAAACCACAGCACAAGTAGTTTTGTCTAGCAAAATGGGATGAGGGAGGACTATTAACATTGCTATGAACTCTTAAAGGAAATGTGGGAAATAAATCTAAAAAATAAGTGCATGCACACATACATACAATAGATTCTTAAAAGGGGAACTTTTTAGCACAAAATTGCTTCTAGTGTTGAACGAGAGATTTTTTTTTGTCTGTTTGAATGAATTGAAATTGCTGCTAGTGTGGTCCTTCGTATATTGTATCTTTTGTTTATGCAAAAGTCTTCAGTAAATAAGGTTTCTTACAAATCAAGTTCCCGGTGACCTCATGAACATGTCCATGTTGTTCTCCTGGAAATTACACGAAAGTAGTTTATCATAGTCTTCTTCTATTTTTTGATTTGGTTTGAATTTTTTTCTTTACCACTTAGTCAAGCCCCCTGCTCTGAGATTTTCTGATGGTCTCCCCTACAACTATTAATCCCATGCACGTTTACCTAGCTATCCTAGCCATTGTGGCACATGGTTAGAATGCAGTATTGCAGGCTAACTCTGCCCATTGCTAGGAGTTCAATCCTGACCAGTTCAAGATTGTTTCACCCTTCCATCCTTCCAAGGTCTGTAAAATGAGGACCCAGATTGTTGGGGACAAAATGCTGACTCTGTAAACCTCTTACAGAGTGCTGTATGGCACTATGAAATGGTATATAAGTTTAAGTGCTATTACTATTGAGTTCAGCCAAGGTCAGTCTAATATTAGACAGTGTCATCTATACTGGCATATAGATATAAAACTGATAGTGGAAAAATATAGCATACATCTTTCCCATTGGGGACACGTAAAACTCACTTATTTTAGTGTGTGCATAATAAATGCAATAGGTATAAATTCATGTTCCTATATATTTATTCTACAACAGTCTTCAAGAGAGAATACATTATATTATAACATTTCAAGGTTTAAAATTTGAACAATCTTAGTATTAAAATGAATACACAAGCAAGTGCTTTACAGCAAATCTCCCCAGTCTGGTTTCCAAATCAGCACTGAAAACAAAAAGAAAAATAGTAAAGTTGCTCAATGACCTCAATGATTGTCATCTTCCATCATGGTTGCCATTGTGAAATAATCATATCAGTGAACGGGGATGGAGAGACGCAACCTTATCAGCCTGATGGTAGGACAGGCCCAAGTAGTCTACCGTCTGAGGCAAAATAAAATTTCCTCTTTTCCCTATTTTCTCCCAATGGAGCAAAGGCTCAAATTATCCTACAGAAGTGATTGACTTTTTTCATCCAAGAAGAGGGAGGGTCGTGTTTATGTCTACCTGTTTAAGAAAGTGGTTGTTATTAAAACTGGACAGATTGATACAAATTTTCCAATACAAAGAGCCAGAAAAGAATTTACCAAAAAGCTGCAAAAAATATGTATCATCTTCTGATAACATTCGAGTGGAAGGGAACCCAAACTGATTTGACCAAAGCCTTTTTAACTTCCTTATTCCTCAGGCTGTAGATCATTGGGTTTATCATGGGAGTAAGAATCCCATACAACATTGAAACAATTCTGTCTTTCTTGGGTGAGTAAGTGGAAGTGGGCCGGACGTAGGTTGCAATAGTTGTCCCATAGAAGAGGCAAACGACGGCCAAGTGGGAGCCACAAGTGGAAAATGCTTTTCGCCTGCCCTCAGCAGAGCGCATCCGTAAGATAGCTGAAACTATATAAATATAAGAGATCAGGGTAACTAGAAAAGCACCACCCCCTAAAACACCAGCCACAAGGAGGAGGACAAGCTCAGGGACAAATGTGGAAGAGCAAGAAAGAGCCCTAATGGGAGAGATATCACAGTAATATTGATTAACTTTATTGGGCCCACAGAAAGATAATGTAAAGGTCAATGAAGTATGAACCATAGAATTTGTGAAGCCAGTTAGCCAGGTCCCAGCTGCCAATTGAGCACATAGTCGCTTGCTCATAATATTGGTGTAGTGTAGGGGGGTGCATATCGCCACATAGCGGTCATAAGCCATCAGTGCAAGCAAAAAAATTTCAGTGCCCACTACATAAATCAGGAAGAAGAGTTGCAGCATGCAGCCAACTAACGATATTCTCTTGTCTTCTAACAAGAAGGTCTGGAGCATTTTTGGCACAGTGACAGTTGGACAAAGGATATCCAATAAAGATAAATTGCACAGAAAGAAATACATAGGAGTCTGGAGGTGGGCATCTGTCGCTGTTGCTATAAGAATTGCCCCATTTCCTGCTAGAGTGGTCAAGTAGGCCAGCAGAATCACCACAAATAGAGATATGTGTACTGCAGGGAGATCAGACAGTTCAGTGAAGTAGAAGTCCTTTACTCCTGTGTTATTAGCCATTTTCATGCCAAGTATCCTGAAGCAGAGGTATCTGAAAACAACGAAAACTTGTATTTAAAGCATACCTTGTGTATTCAGTCTTTTCTTTTTATTTTTACTATAGCTAGCTAAGAATCTTAACTTCTGAAGGAAAATGTTTCTCAATACTTGTTTAAGTCATACTGTATATAGAGAGCAGTTTTCCATCAAAATTTTAAAAAACGTTTGCAGTTCAAACCAAAATTTGAGAAAGCAAATAGGTTATGGAGACCATATGGCAGCAGTCCTCAACTTTTGCAGCGGGGGGCCCAGGTGGGGTGGAATGGAGCCACAAGATCACTTGCATGTGTAGCTCCACTCACACAAAAAAGAAAAGAAGCCTTTGGAGTGCTGCAAAGGGACAGAAGGCCCGAAGCAGCACGAGATTGCTCCTCCAAAGCCTTTCACACATTTGCAAAAGAGAAGCCTTTGGGAGTGCAAACTTATGCTCTTTCAGACTCATGGAGGCTGCACGACACTCCAAAAGCAGATCAGGTGTCCTGCTCAGGCAGCTTTGGTGACTTAACAAAGCTGAGCAGGGCACACACATCCCACTCAGCCTCTGCTCTCACCACTCTGCTTTTGGAGCATCGGGAGCAGGTGGTGGGAGAGGGGAACTGGGCTGTGCACACATGTGCACAGCTCGACTCACACAAGAGAGAAGCTTCTGAGGAGCCACTCACGAGATTGAGATGGACGCACACACCGGCCCACCTCTCACACAGCCCGGGTCCAAATAGGCCCCAGCCCTGTAGTGGGCTGTGGGTCAGGGGTTGGGGACCCCTGCCATAGGGTGAATTAAGAGAAAATTTCAACAGAGTGGTACACTGTGGAAAGTTGTAATTATCAATAAAAGTTCAATTAAAATACAGGGAAATATAACTATTGTTTTTGAAAACTCCCTTCTGGTATTGGAAAAGAACTAAGTCACTTCCATGTTGATTCCTACGCTACAAAATCAACACATTCATGCTTTAATAGATTCAATATTAATAAATAATTGTTTTGTATTATAACAAAATTGTACTTCTTTGCTATTTGCACTCATTTTTTTCTTCATCTTTTAACCTTCTTCCTTAGTTTTTCAGGTCCGAATAGACAAAAATGCTTCCCAAAAGACTTACAAAGCACCTGAGCTTGAATAGTGGATATTTTCTAACATTTCTAAACATAATTTACAGACCTTGTAGTATTCATTCTGACATTACATAGCATATCAATAGAATGTTGATTTAATCAATAGAATGTTGATTTAATCCAAGATCAATTACAGAATCAATAGAATGTTGATTTAATCCAAGATCAATTACAGAATTTTTCATACAGTCAACTAAAATCACACACACACACACACACACACACACACACACACAATCAATGTATAAATGTGTTATGATAAAAAGACCAAATAATTTAGCATATATTTAATATTCATAGTCTGGAATTAATTCTAGTGAAATTCAGGATGAGTCCAAAACAAGACTGAAAATGAATAATAAAGTCAACAAACATTTAAAACTTAGGGAAAAAAATAGGATGAAAATTTGGAACTGATCCAGAATTCAGTGCAACTGGGATCTATTAATTATATTCTATTAAGAGTTACCTCTTATTTTTGCTGAAGCAAACAGATACATTTCCTTATCTTGTTCAGCACAGGAAGAGCACTTAGGTCAGCATCTTAAACCCATAAACCAAATTGCTAAATAGATGACCATTTATGATTGACCTAAACTAAACAGAACTGAAAGATTCCAACAAAAACAATGTGTATATGAGGATTGTTATATTGATCTGAATAAATTAGATCAAATGAAGCTGTAATTATTTTTCACAGAACCCAGCAACAGTCATTTATTTTATTTATTTGTTAAACTTAAATCCAGTTTTTTCTTCAGGAGCTGGGCTGCATAAGCACTGCAGACTCCTCCTATTTTTCCATCTCTCTCCTGTGAGGGAGACTGGGCTGAAAGAGAGTCTACAGAACAGCCAGTAAGTTTCCATGGCTGAGGGTGGACCTGAACCTGCGTCTCCGGGAGGCCAGCACCTTAATCATCCATCACAACATTTTTACACAGAGCTTTATAGAGAAAGTGTATATTATTCCAGATAAATAAAATGCATATTTCAAATAAATAAACCTACACAATGCATTATTTCATATATCTGATACAAAAATGTATGAGACTAAAGAGTAACTTACCCCCACTGCCCACGTACATGGAGTGTAATGTGACAGCAGTTTTCAGATCTCCAGCTGATTTCAATTTATTTAAGGTATAGATAAACCTATTTGACAAAGAGATCTTCCAGCTTTAAACAAGTGAACACTAAGATAACATTACTTAAAAAAATGACACAGTAATGAAATCCTGCTATATATTTTGCCATCTTATGTACTACAAAAAAAAAAAAATCTCAAAGGAATACAATTAGGGAGAATACTGAATACTAATCTAGGTTGTTGTACTTATATTTAAGTATGGTATATATAATCTGTACCGAAGATAGCATCTGAGGACCTGGACCTTTGAGAATATTAAAAAGCAAGGGACTGTTATAAAACTTGCTAAGCCATCTGGCAAATGAAAATATTCTTTGGTATCAAAAGAATCTCAAAATCTTCAACAGAGTACCGTTTAGGAATTAATTTGAGTCATAACAACAATCAAATTATTGATGCATTAATTTCTGGAAAAGGATTTTATTTTTTGCTTTCTACATATCTACATGTTAGTCCTCAAATCAAACAAAACAAGTTTTTCAATATGGCAATTATTCATTGGAAGATAGAGAGTTCAGTTTATGAGAATGGCAATATCTTCTCTGAAGGGATCTTATTCAGAAGCTGATGAACTACTGGAAACGCTACGGGCAAAGAAACTAAGGAATTCAGATCCAAAGTGTAGTGGACATGTGGTTTCAGGCCTGGTTCCTTCAAAGCTGCATGCAGAAACACTAATAAACACTTCTTGGTCTTGAAAAATTGTAAGATTTATTTATGAAAATGTTATGGCTATTCCTAGTAGTGCTACTGATGTTCTCATTAAAAAGCGTTATGAAGCATGTTCATACTTGCAGGTGTTACAGGCATGTAAGTTAAACATATCTATATGACACTGAACCATAGGTATTTAAAGAAAATCTGATACCCCAGAGATTTATTTCAGTTTTTGATCAAAATAAGATAGCAACTAGGCAATACAGAATTAATTATAGAATTATTAGGTGCTTTTATTTTATAAGGGTAACCTATAAAATTAATTCTCTATAAAACACTTATCAAATCAAGCACTAAAAACTGTTAAATAGATGAATCTATGAATCCATGCTGTGAAATGAATATTAGTGGTAGCTATAAAACTAAAATCTATAAAGCCAGAAACTATAATATACCATGAAACATTAATAAAATTTGTTAAAACTAATGTATATACTCACTTAGAGTTCCATCAATGCATAAGCTGACCCTCAATATTTTAACCAAATATTGAACCAAAATATTAACCAAAATGATGAAAAATATGCTATAGGCGGATAAACTGCCCTCATTTTTCATGGAAATTTAATTAAAAATTGGAAGGTCAGTTTATCTGCAGATGGACTTATAACATGAGTATATGTCCTAGTTTTATTGTTTCATGGTATTCCGTGAAGACTTTTAATACTTATTGAGCAAGTATAAATGCTTGATTAGATCGGAATAAGCACCGAGTACTGAAAATTAAAAAAGGAAGTTTCTAAATTAGAATTGGGATTAAATGGAACATGGGATGACATAGCAGAAAGTACCCCAGTTTGCTTTGGTTTTGTACATATATATCATTACCAAGAGAGAATGAAGTTTTTAATGATGCATTTGGGTTTCAGGTTTTATTAAATCCAGGTGTTAAAGGAAGTTTCCAGGAGACAAGAGAAGGAAATGGACTAGAAAGAATATTCAGGTACTAACCAGCAATGGAGAGTTGATGAAAAAATGTAGCATGGTATTACAAGGAAAGGATAGCAGGTAACTCATTAGTCTCCTGCATTCTTTTTAGGTTATAGTCTTACCTATTCTAGATGATAAGGAAGATGATTGTTTTAATCTAAATCTCCTGTTCTTTAATGGAATATCATGTGGGTAATAACTTACTTAATCATAAATGAATGGGTTGATCTGGTGCACATCACAAGACTTGTCCACACTTAAGCACTTGCATTCCATGGAAATGAAACCACTTTCAGAAACCTATTTCTGGATTTTTGCCTCTTCCTTTGTTTTGAGCACTGTAATGGCCTGGGGTTCTGTTTGGACTACATTTATTATAGCACCTGATTGATGGATCCCCCTTTTTTCTTTACCCTTCCCACATGCGCCAAGAAAACAAGTACTAATGGCATGTGAATTTCTTTGATGGACCTCCTTCACTGACTCCCTTTTTCATTCCTTCTTGCCTGGTACATTGGTGGACCAGAAACAAAGCATCCATTTTAAAATTTTGTTTTTTGTTTTTTTTAATCTAGAAAGAATGGCAGAGCTTTTGTCAATCTCACCTGTTGTTTTTTTAAGCTCATTTTATTCCATCAGTGAACTAGCAGAGCATCTGCTTCTCACTTTCCACCAGTAAAGTTGTAAAAAAGGAGAAAAGATGAGAAAAGTCCAGTGTTTCACCAGCTTACCAGAGAAAGAAACGAAAGACAATGTTCATTTCAGAAGGGGATAAGCAAATCGGCAGCTCAGGAAAAACTGGCCATGGAGGAGAAGGATTGATAACTGGAAGGAAGGATTAAGTACCTGCTACAGTACTCATCCTAAACAAATAAGTGAGACATCTCATCACCCAACATCTAGTACATCTTTGGAACCTGAATGTGCCCTGTGGTGAAATCTTTGGGCACCCTGATCTGGAACAGCAATGGAAGTGAGAGCATATTACATCATTGGTCCTGTGAGAAAACCAATCTGCATTTCTGCTGTTGCTATATGGCTGGCCATGTGGATGCTTTTATTGCACACCAATATGTTTTTTTAAAGCATCAGCTGGCGCCCGGGGCTTTATAGAATCTGGTGACCCAGTATTAGGGATGGTCGCTGAAGGCTGGTTGATGAGACAGAATGAAGATTTTGGTTACATTTGATCTCTCACATCCCCATTTGTATATCCCCCTGTCCATCCATTATTGTAATAGCCTCACCTGTCCTCATCCCATCCCCAACTCTGCCTTCCTCTGCCTCTGCTCCACTTCTCAACTCTCTGGCAACTGGGATCACTCAACCACTACCCACATTTTCCTCTACTATACACCCCCCCAACTGTTTCCACCAGAGACACTCAGCACCAGGGAAGTAAGACTACAGTAAAAGGAACTGTCAAATCACTAACACTCTAATACCTTTCCCAATACACTCATTTATCAGCTTCAATCCTTCCCTAACCACCAAACCTCCAGGTTTTATTCAAGTAGAAGCAATATCAAATTCTAACCAAATGACTGGCTAGCAGCTTCCACTGTACAACAGTTGAAATTGAGGCATTAAAAAATGTAAGAAAGATAGAAAAAAGTCCAGCACCACAGGCCCTATATATACTTGGTATATACCTAGAACTCAGCTACCAGCTACATGCTTCATCAGGATCCAGGCTGACAACACATAAAATTGTTTAATGTGGCTTCTCTCCTGTTAGCACGAGTCCATCCTCCTGTATTCCTGGGTCCAAAATTTCTTCCGTAATTTTTTTGCCATTCTTAGTGGGACTGACTTTAGTAACACTAACCTCACATCCAACCTACAGTCTTTGAGTCACTCACAGCAACACTGCTCTGCCAGGTCAGCTGATAAATATATCAATGATGGGAAAATTCCAAAGCCTCCCCACTATCATTGACAGCCAACATGTCCAAAGCAGGGCCAGGCCGGGCTCTCAGGCAGAATCCAATATAGAGATCCAGATCCATTTTCCACCAACTCATCTCCATTTATTTCTTTGACCATCATTTAACCTTGATGCTTCCATGGGACAGAGACAAAGGTAAATCTTATTACATTGGGCTCTGCCTTGAATTTCTTCCATAGTCTAGTATCCAAGCTGGCACAGACTCCAGCTCCAGGTCAGCTCCATTCTCCAGCCAACTTCCCAGCCAATATTGCCAACTCCATCAATTGTCTCCAGCTATTCCAACTTTGTGGCCTGCTTTCCTGGTGCATAATGCTCTCTACCACTGATGACACCTTTCACTGAACAAAAACCTCTGATTCTCTTTACCTGGATGCACTGTTAGGAATTACTGCTTCTTCCATCCGAGTGAGTAAACACCCTGGACCACAATCTTTGTGGTAACTCCCGAGCCCCGATTATACATTGCCTTATCTACAACTTTGTCATTCAGATTAAAGCCAGCATGACATGACTAGAAGGTCTCAAAGTTTTTTTAAAAAATAACAAAATAGGGGAGATCTGGGAATTTACAGCCAGTCAGCTTATTGTCTGTTCTACATTACCATACAATTGATGATATGTTAATCAAATAAAAAATACTAGGTTCATGGAGGGGAAAAAACCTTATCATGGATTTACATCAGTAAATCGTATTTTACAAATGTCTTCGTTTTTCCATGTATAGATGCAAGCAAGAAGGAGAATAGGACTATGTTTTACCTACAAACCAGAAAAAAAGTCAAGTAGAAAATAATTTAAGTACATGGGAATTGAATACTTTGCACACAAGAAAAGGCTACAATGTGTAGTAAAAACACGGCTGACCTGGTTGTGTAAACTCATGCATGACCTAAATAAAGTTGTCAGGGTTCATTTTATTTCCTGTCTCAAAAGGCACATAGTAAGATTGACTGGGAAGATACTTAAAACAGCTGTCCTTCACACAGTGCATAATTAACCTGTTGTATTCATTATTAGAAAAAATGACGATAGCCACTAATTTTAATAGCTTTTAAAAAGTGAGATTCATAAATTCATGGAGGGGATAGATAGATGAATCTAGAATGTTGATAAGTGGAATTGGAGATCTACCATTCTCCTACTATTGTTTTCTTGCAAATGAAGGTTCAGTGAAACCTCTGGTAGGATGGAGTGTGCCTCCAAATGCTATTTGCAGGAAAACAACAGTAGGAGAATGGTAGATCTCCAATGCCACTTGTCAGCATTCTAGATACATCTGGTTGGCCACCATGAGAAATGAAATGTTGGATGAAGACTGGCCTTGAATTCATAGAGTTTGGTTGTCCTTAATTCCTTACGTGCATACGGACTCAAGTGTGTTGCTGCAGGTGTGGGGGGGGGGGTTGGGCAATACAAATGAAGAACAGAATCATTAAACC